TCTCACGGCAGGAAAAGTCGAATTAATAAAATCGCGGTTATTCGTGCCCCTTTCCGTGTTTATACAGCCGTGCAAGCAGCCATAAAAATGACATGACGAGAGAGAAACAAAGACTCGCGTTGCCATTACGAATCAAACGTAATACGCGACCGATCGAATATTCCACCTGTACGGGGTGTTGTACAATTGTCGATAAACCGTAACCTTGGCCGACTTAACAACCCGATCGACTCCGCGACGAAAGAGAAACTTTAATTGACGGAATTATACTGGTGAAACGCGCGGATCTCAACTTGTGGCCGTTTGTGTCAAGTTAGTATCGATAATTATTGAGGTCAAATAACCGAGTGTCGCAAAATGATACGGTAATTTAGTAATTATAGAATCCGGAATAAAATAAATTTTAGTTAGAATTTTATGTGACGTGTAATATGACTAAAACATCTAAAAAATCAGAAATATGCATGTATTTAAAAAATATATAGTCCCGAAATTCGCGACTCAAAATACTATATTTATACTGGAAAAAGAATCTAATTTGCTTTAATTGGAATTCTGGTTGAAAATGGATCAATCAAAATTTTATGGTTGATTCTAATATTATGATTGTAGTTGAAATAATCAGAATTCTGTTTAATACATATTAGAATCTTCTGGTTCATTTATTTTCAACTAGAAGTTTTTCTCAATGTAATAGCAAGAAAATTCTTGAAAAATTAAATAAAAAGTTATTTGTAAATTTTTATTTTAAGTAGATTTTTTAGATACAAGCGTATAATTACAGACTACGTTTAAATAGTCACCTGCGAATATTAATGAGCGCATTAAAGTGCTTACTATTATAATATTACCGCACGTGCAATTTATGGACAGGTGACCACATGAACATCGTCTGTAATTGGCCTTGTATTAAAACTAAACTGCTTAAAATAAATTTAAATAATTAAAATAAATAAGTTTTTTTACTAAATTTCTCGGAAATTATTTTGTCATAGTATTTTGAGTTGCGAATTTGAAGATACCCTGTATAATAAGCACGTACATCAAAATACACTTTTTTTTAAATTATTGAAAAGTTTTTTTTCAAAAAATCATTCTAATAACCAGTAATTTAAAAAATTACATCTAGTTGTTTACTTTATTTTCAAAGCGACGAAATTTTCAATTTTCCATGGCAGTCTAGAATTATTAAAAGGAATATACATTGTAGAAAAACTATCACACGCTACACGTTTGCTAGCCGAATGGCTTTTTAAATTGAACCTTTTTATCGCATACATATTAATTGTACGAATCCGCAGATGGCTATCGAATTAATGAATTCAATTTCGTATTAGTTTTGAGTCAGTATGTGTCAAATTGCTGTTCCGGCGGCTCATCTCTAATTGATTCCGAAATAGTGCTCGTCAAAATTTTGCTGCGTAGGCTTACACTTTTATACGGGTGCTCACAAGAAAGAGCTGAACGTCACGTTCTGTCAATTAAAATCACATTTTGCGCTCGTCTGTTTTAACTCGCAAGTTGAATCAATCGTAAACCATATTGATAATTCAATTTTAAAACTACGTTTTTTACTATCTGCTGTACATTCTATTGTATCCATCTAATCTTATAGGCTTGGCGCAATAACAGAAAAAATCGTTATGTAACGCATAACGTATAATTTCATGATACATGTGACAATCGCGTGATAATGTATTATCTCCACTGATTCTTGGAAAATATATATTCCCATACTTATTGTTGTAGAGAACACGGCTTATAAACAGATGTTTGCGACAAACAGAAAGAAAAATATCTAAATATATTTTATTCTAGTAATTACAATGCGTTTACAATTGTTAATTTTTTTTTACTTGGAAAAGATAAATTGTGTGTTTAAGAAAACAGGAAATGTAAAAGATAATAATGAAAGTGACATTGAACTTATCTTCGGTATTTCAAATCCATTTTAGAGATTTATTATTGGCGTTAAAAGGGGTAAAATTCTAATTATAATTTTATGTGATATACTGTAATTATATATATATATATATATAAAAGTAACATTTAAAAAATCGGAAAAACATGTACATATATAAAATAAACATTAAAGTACAATAAAGCATACATCAAAATATACGTTATTTAAAATTATAAACAGAATTTCGAAATCTGAAACGAATTATAGGTCGTTTAGTGGGTTTAATACGCACGGTAAATAAAAATGAAAGGAAAGACATGTCCAACGTTCTAAAATACTCATGCGTCACACAAACGTCGAAGGAATTTTATTGTAGATACCGTTCGCGCGAAATTAGTCCGAGCAAGTCATATCCCTGATGCGATTTGATCGTTGCGATTAGGCGCGATTTGCGATTAAACGCAAAGTAATGTCGACAAATATTTATCGAAGACACGGCCGGCTGGCATTCGAGTGCATTAAACGGTAACATCTAAGATTTCACGCTTTATTATTATACAATTATATATTACAATAATTAGTTACAATAATCACAATAATTACTCATATCTTAATTTTTTATTATTATTACCGTACTATTGTTTTCAAGTTATACGTAGTTATCTCGTTGATTTATTATCATGTAGTTTTATCATTTGTCATTTCTGATGCACGGAAAGAACGATTATACCGAAACATCTAAAAATTTAAGTAGATACAGATCTAAAAATAATTTTATTGGATCATAATTACGTAAGTCTCAAGCATGACGAGTAACGCTGCAAAAAGTTTTGACATTTTATAATAACCAGTTTGAATGTTCTACATAATAATTTTGATAGTTCAATAAAAAAACTATTTTCAGATCTCTGTATTTAACTAAATTACATAGAGATAGAGACCGCCTTGATCGGTCAAAGTTAGATATTATTAGAATAATACATTATATATTCTTTATTAAATAAAATTTATTTCAGAAATAATTGCGTGCTGATAACATTTGAACTTTCAACCAATTAGTCTGAAACGCTAATAATCCCTCCCCTAAATTAAATTAGAAAGAAAGAAGGAAAAAAAAAGAAAGTTAATTATTGCGAAAAATATTACTTCAGTCAGGGTTCGAACTTGAGATCTTTCGATTTTCCGGGGCGAGTGTTCTTAGCCAATTCGAAATAAATTTTTAAACACCTCAGTGAAACCGTTCTTTCAGTATGGATTTTGTAGCAGCATCATTGCTGATGCCTCAACCATTGTGCATTACATTTATCCATTACATTTACTCGTTACTTCCATTTTAATCAGTGCGTTTCTTTTAATATAGAGTAAATAGATAAATTAATTAATAATTAGTCACCGTGCCGTTGCAACCCGTTATTATCGCGTGCAGTCCGTGAACCTGTCGTGCGGCACCGCGTGATAAACGGAGTGCAGTTTGTGCGGGCTTATCGCGGGTTGGGATTAACCGCGATCTTATAATCCGTTTTCTCGCGATAATGCCGCGATATTGCATACACGGGCGTGTGAGGCGCGTAAATTACGCGCTCCAGATACGGGATTCGACCGCGCAATTCAGCCGTGATCATGCTAATGTTAGATGCGACGCGAATTATGTTTCGCAGAGTCGGAAGGAATGCAGCAAAGGTACGGTGCGGGATATAATTAAAGCGCATGATAATCAACGCTGACTACTATGGCTGTATTCGTAGACGGTATTTAAGCAGAAAATCTAAAGCGTGCACACGCGAGTACAAAAGAATGAAACTTGATAAGGATCTACTGATGGCAGACAAAAAAATGATAATTACGAAAATTTGAAAGCGATAAATGTCTCGTAAAATATATTGCATCAATTATAATTAAAAATATTTCAGTTTTATATGAATTATGAATAAATACGATGACTCAACTATAAAAATCATAGCAACGCGATGAAGTTATTCTCGAGGTTATTCTTTTATAATATAGTAATATTACTTTTTTGTTCCCAAAAGTATTGTTGAGATAAATTGACTATGAAAGAGGAAATAAGTGGAACGTTGACGAAATTAAATAACGTGTGGAAATATCTTGATGTTTAAAATAGCAAAACGACTGTTAGCAGTTATTATAACGCGTGACGCGTTAATTTTATGGGGTATAATTGAGTGCTGTCTTGTCACATCTAATGACAGGACGTACGAAAGATAATAATAAATATACTGCGAATTATCGAGATAAAATTTTTTAGCACTTTAAGAAAATGAATAAAAAAATGAATAGAAATACATTTCTGTTGTAAAGACATAAATTTTTTATTTTTGAAATTGAAATAGCTTTTCAAGCAATTAGCAAGCAATTGGATTGACTTAATTTTGCATATATAAATATAGAAATGTTTCTTTCCTAAAATTAAAATTAATTTTTTAAAAGAAATCGTATATTTGTGATAATATTGGAATTATGTTTTATTTGATATAATGAAGCAAACGTCGACCTTTTATTTCGTCGCGATAAGCGAGGCCTTCTATTGGAGTAGTAAGTCTTGTTTCGGTAATTGGTCACTCGATTGAAACTAACAGATAAATTATGAACATAATGATGATAACGAGGGCAATAGTGAAGAATGAGTCGTATGAGTTTTCTCTTGATAAACAGAAAAATTTTCTTGCTACATATAATAACTGTAATTTTCGTTATAATTCTTCTATTTAACGTTAAGACAGAATAATTTTCTTTTCTTTTCTATATAAACATTGAGAATCTAAGAAACTTTCGTGAAATCCAAAAAAACAACGCTATAGAACGGAAGTATTTTCCATTTCATAAAAGAAGCACGAGTTCAATTCCGCAATATTGCGCGATGTATCGACTAAAAATATAGTAGGAAAGCATTTAAAAAAAACAGTAGCAGATATGAGGTCGTAAATCGGATCAGCGGCTTAAAGGCGGTTAAGAAAGTTCTCAACTTCTGATGCGATCGATTTTATCTTAACTTCCAGGTTTCGCTAAATACACGGAAAGCAAAAAGGCGTGAATGACGCGATCTTAACGATACATATCGTTCTTGCTGCAACGATAGCATGTTATCGGGGTGATACCGTTTAACGACACAGTTTGCCGTATGAATGTGCATGTATGTGCAAATTACGACTAAGACGTGTTGATTCTGTGAGACGGAAAGTTATATGACTCGGTCATCGAGTGAAAATAAACAAATCGTCATTCACATCGTGTGACGTGCGTAATGTCGTTGAGTGTGAGTGTCTAAGCGGTCGATGTTGGTGTGAAATTTAACTGGGAAAGATGACACTGAAGAAGGAAGCGAAAAGGTCCTTGAAAAAGAGCAAGTCGAGCCACAAAGCAACAAATTACAGTGATGAGAGCGCAAGTGCGACGCAGTTGGGACACCCCACAAAGGAATGCAAGCAAGCGAAATCAGAAGCAGGTGCGCAGAACGCTGGATATTAATCGCTTTTTGAAAAATTCTTGATACGAAAAACATTATCTTTGATTAACGTTGCCTTCCATCAAACGTTGGAACTGTCGGAAAAGTAATTGCTTACGTTAGCCGCGTCTGTATTATCAGAGATCGAACAATGTGACGCCGTTAAAGAATACTGCCAAAGGGAGTATTTCTCGACGAAGATAACTAATAATAATCAAAATCAAAATCAATATCAAAATAAGTTTCTAAATTTTTTTGGAAAAAATAATTTGAAATTTTTCTAAATTCAAGGATAATGAATTGAAGTTAAATATTAAAATAAATAATTATTAGTTAGCTCTTAATCTAAATAAGTTAAAATTAAATAATAAAATTGCAAACAATTTTAGTAAAAATCGATAAATTATTTTATTTTGATAAAAATATTTAAAATTACATTTTAGTAAATTCACGGGCTAAAGATATGTTTAAAGGCTCAAAATTGTTTCGATATTATTTAATAGGAATAAAATGTTATTTTTCAACCCCTAAGTATACATAATTAGGGCCTGAATAGAAAAGCGTGTGTTTTGAGCTATTTTGCAACATATAAGATTGAAGAAGGCAGTTTCGATCGTTAATATTGTCGTATATCTCTCAAGAATCCTTCAACGTCAAGAGATCGTCGTTGAAGGAAACCTCGTTGAAGGATGCGGACAATTCAAGCGAGAAGCTCGAACGGCATTCGTCGTTCCGTCGGAAATTCGGCGCTCTGTTGAGAAGGAGTGCCGAGTTACCGGCGGTGATAAACCATAGCCTGCAGCCGATCAGGCGTAGTATGAGCTTTAGCAAGGACCTTCATCGCAGCCACGAGCCTTCGAGGCAACCCTACAGGACCAGCAGCGTGCAGTGGTACAACAGTCTCAGCACTCTCAGTTCGTTAGCGGAGGATGAGGTCGATGCCGATTGCAAGAGGGCGAGCGCCTCCGAGGTCTTCGATGGCAGGGTGACCCAAGTCACCAGGACGCACAGTCTGATGGAGAAGTATCCTGTAAGGATTTCTCGCTGTCCTTAGAAAAAAAATCTGAGAACGTAAAGTATTTATTAACTCTCTAAAGAATCATTGTACGCGATTAAAAATGTATACCTTAAATCCACAATTGTTTCTTATTTTCTGAAAGATATATTTTAAAGAAATACAACCGACAGCAAGAATCATAAATAATATTGGGAGAGTAAGATAGTATTCGTCACGAACGAATTTTGAAAGTTCTTTCTCTTGAGAATTATTCTCGAGGAATTTCGAATTTTAAATTGTTAATTTCGAAGTAAACACGAACGTCATAAATAATGAACGTCGCGTGTAGCTCTCGAGAGAATTTAGCAAATATTATTTAAAAGATATTTATAGTCCGTTCTCTTATTTCAAGATTATCTTAACTAATATCTTAAGGTGCTAAGATACGATTCTGCGACTGATTTATGACATCTTAAGATTGTTCTTAAGATGGTTTTAAATAGACTGAATAGACTGAGAATAGACTGTGAATACCAATCTAAATATATATATATATATTTATTTGTTTTATTTTCTTTCTTGCTCAATTTAAAAAATCATGATAATTTCGAAATCTTCTGGTACATTTCAAACATCATCGTCTAATCGAGGCGTAGTTAACGGTTAAACACGATCCTTATCTTTTAGAAACTCGCGAAAGGCGTGCTATTCAGGGCTTAGGTCTCGTTAAACTGGTTCGGAGAGATTAACGAGATTCTATTTGCTTCATCCACCGGTCTTTATCAGTATCCTGTTACTCGCCGCGAATTTTTTCCTCCTCCCTCGCCCCTCGTGCTCCGGAGAAGCCACGCTCAATTTATAACTTTTTACCGGACTCGGCGACTCCTTGTATCATCGGGAATTGACGAAAAATCTGACTATATTTTCACCTAATCACCGAATCAAATTTTCCAGTTTCAGAAAATCCCATCTCTCTTTCTCTCTCTCTCTCTCTCTCTCAATTTTTTTATGTTTTTATTTCACAAAGAATAGAGGCACGCAAAATTAGCATTTTGCCAGAATTTTGACGTAATTGACAGAATTCTCTTCACGGGTCAGAACTATCAGTTATATAAAAATTCTAAAAACGGGGCGCTAACTTTACGGAGGTAAGGAAAACTTTGGCCGGAAGCTTCCAGTATGAATCCGTGCCGTGCACGAACGAATCGGGACTATCGATTTATGTGGCGGTTAAAACACTGATGGTAATTTAAGTGATGAGACGTTTTTGCTAACGAAAAAAATGATCGATTAGCGTGACTATCGAATCATAATTTTACGTGAAAATTAATAGGATGACATAAAAAAAAATTGAAGTTTGAACACATACTTGTTGTAATTTACTGATGTTCTATTATTTTATTCTTGGATCAAGTCTAATTAATCGAGATTAAAACGGTAAGTTGCGGATTTACGGCGGATTTAGAGATTGTTCCAAAACCGTGGAACGTCAGTACGTTGGTTGCTTTTTGAATTCCGAATTCAACTATTCAAGGCTGATTCAATCGTTTTAGTAAACCAGGATTTCACGAGGAAAGCGTATTCGACGATATCGTCGGATTCTAACCGGGACTATTGTTCTGTAGGAATCCAAACACCTGAATCGCGGCTTTAGGTACAATCAGATCTAAATCTTGCACGCGAAATCGGCTAAGCGTTTAACCTATTTGCATCCGTACCAGTGTCTACGTTTAACATGATACAATCGCGGTTTGCGCACATAGTTCGTAGCGCCAACTTACGCTGTCTTATTGACAACTTGACTTGCGGATTATTTGACTGCTGGATGATCTCTGAAAGCCTAACAATTACACGTTCATGAGATAAACTCACTGACTTTACAATCCAACGAACAGGAATATCTCAAGAATTCCATTAATGCACGTAACAGCGCGATTATTCACGAATCCGCAATTTAATTGACCTAAAACAGCCTTATAATTGTCACGATTTGTACGTTGTTCTCTATAGAGAGATTCTCGAAAATGCCACACGACCATTTTGCGAACGATCGCCAATTTGACGCGAGTAATATGGTCAATCTGTTCGTATTTACGAATGAGATGAGTCATACATTAGCGGACAATGAATAATTTGCTGTCATTAATGATTATACATTAATAGATATTTGCGGGGTAAAAGTGTTGCTAAATATTGCTGATGGCAAAATAAATTTTTAATTTTTGTGCAGTTGATCGAAAAAGCAATAAGCGTCTACTTAACAAAATAGTAGGCGGTTTTTACGGTACAGTGCTATTTATGTGCAGATAGCTAATGAAAAATTTGCGTAATGAGACTTCCGCTCTCCCCATCCTCCATCTCTCTCTCTTCCTCTTTTTCTCTTTTTTTCTTACACCACGTAAAGACGCTTTTTCCTCTCGAAAAACTCATCCTGCTTCCACATCGAGAATTAATGGCAACGACGACTGTTGAATGGTGCCAAAGTTTATTAATTTTTTTTGTAAATTTTCCTTCTATATATTTATTTTTTCAAATCTTTTTTTAGAGAAGAACTTTTCTAAATACACACATATACATACATACATATACATACATACATATATATATAAAATTATAATTTTGCGATAATTACAATACGTTGGTATAAGTACAATACCTTGGTACTCATTAAAATTCTTATAAAAGGAAAGAGATCATAATAAAGATACAAAAATAAATGAAGGTACACATAGAATAAATCTTATTCGGTTATTTATTTTTTATGATTACACCAGTCTTACTTGATAATACGACTCGTGTTTGCATTGAAAATGCAATTTAATGTACTTAAACACTTGAATTTTTTTTCGTAAGGAGGAGAATAAAAAGCAAGCTTTTAACTTAATGACCGATATTAGATCTTTCTTCCTAATAGAACACAAATCTTAATCTCATCCAGAAAAAGGACGAAAATACGTTCCGAGCATTCTATACATTTTTTATCGAAATCGGGAAGACCTTATGATCTTTCCCGAATGTACCTATACAATTGATCTATTAAATAGGATTTACATGAGACGTTTTGATTTGTTTTACAGACTACTAATTTTAGACGAAGGGTGAATACTTTGTCACATCCATTAGCATCTCCTTACGGACGACACAGCGATTACTATCACTCCAATATAGGTGATTATATTGTTTATTATTATTACGTAACAATTATATTATTTAAATAAGAGAAATAATTCTATTTTCTATCAAAAGATCTTATTGGTTGATAATGTTCATATGCATACGTCCGCATGAAAGAGATAAATCCACGTTTGAATTCCGGCTGAAATGATATTTTTCACAATTAAGTTCTTCACAGTGTTTTAAGATGCTTATTAGCATCATTATTAAATTGACAAACAACGTAATTTATGATGTCATTTCTAGCTTCAGTTTATAATTGCGTTTTAAGTCCAGCAAATCGAATTAGCGCGCAATTTTTGTAGAACTGAAAAATGTATTTGCCAATTTGATTTGCAAATATGATAATATTCAATTATCAAGATCCACTTTGATGCTTTGACTGAATATAGGATTATTTCTTTTATTTGATTTATTTTTTATCTAAAATTTCATTTGTAATTGTACATAATTATTATTATATTGATTGAGAGAGCGGTCAGTTTTGAAAGAAATTATTTGCTCGACAGTCTTCTCCTATCTTTTAAATATAACTTAACTATATATGTAACGAAAATTATATATTTTACATGTCCTGTTTATTCTATTTATATTATATTACATGTTCAAATCCATTTCCGTAATTGTCGAGCTTAGGATTAATTGTTCGGTTAATTTCTAAAAAATGATTAATTATTGCGAAGTATACGCGACGAGATACAAAAGTCTTCCAGATTTTATAAAGACATAGAAGTCAGGTTGAGCAGGCTTAATTTTCTAATTCCTTTTCCAGGATTATACATCCTGCTCTCAGACAAAATTAAGCTTTATATCCCCTAGTAAAATTTATATAAGCGAGACGCAGTACACGTCGCTCTTTGAAAAAGCTTTTTTCATTTTATTTTAGATCTAAGCAATCCTCCCTGTGAAGCAAGCAGTCTTCCGGCTTTGAGTCGCGTTGCCATTGACGCATATGATAATGAAACGAAATTATCACTGTAAGTATGATCCGTTCGTCCGTCTCATCAGCCATGCTTGTCTTCAATAATTAATTGTGGCGTTAATAATGATTTAACTACTTACTACTTTACTACTTTCCTATATCTAAAAGAAATTACGAAAGCCATAGATCATTAGTAAAATTTTATTCTGTCCTATTCTGTCCTATTATTTTCGAAATATTTTTTCTTCTCTCGTCTGACTAAAAATGCATTACAAATTTATTATTCTTGTTTTAAATTCTTATCTTCTGAATATCGAGTTTATTTAAATCTATTTGAAGATTGACTGATAAAATGACAATTGTCAATCGTTTTTATATTCTTTCCTCTCTCGAATTTATGTATTTCGTACATCTAAAAAGAAAGGGAAAGATTATATCGATTGATTACTCGCAACTATAGTCGATTTTAAAAATTTGTTGTGATTCCTTCAGTGAACGGAAGTAAAAGAAAAACGTAAAACGTCCGTTGGCTTTAAACGAATACTTGTTTCGCGAGTGTTTCGATGGCGGGATAATAAATTACAATTGAAAAGAAGGGCAGAAAGACAGAAGGAGGTCAATAAACCGCTGTCTGTGATAAATCACAGCATGGGCCAGAGAGTAGTCAGTGGCGATGGATTCGAAGAACGAAAATACGAAATCGCGAAAGAGTTGAAAGAATTCACGTTAATTCTTTTTAAAATACATGGAATATTTCATATATTGGATTGTATCACATATTTTACGATCCGCGTTTCGTTTAGACCAGGTCCACATTTCGATTTTCGAGAATTTCTGTCACGCAGATCTCATCGCGCTGGTTTGATAAAAAAATTCTTTTATTTGCACGTACGCGTAACTTTTAAAACTATTGCTCTCCTCCCTTCTTTCCGCCAACAAACTCGCCGTTTGTGCAAAATGAATAGCTTTTCTGGAGAAGTGTATGTTTCTGCACGTACAACGGAGTATCGAGACACGGGTTACGAGATGGTCGCTTGTATGTACGTCGGTAAATCAAGTCCACCGCTCGCTGCAGCAATTTTAGTTTGTTCCCGTAAAACAAAAGTCCAAATCGCGCGGCACATTGTTACATACATACTTGCCATTCGTCTCGGTTCTACCGATGCTTTAAGCCAGTTTAAGCCTAAAAGTAGGACAGCCAGCGTTAGTTTATTTTATGATTACAATGTAAAGCCCACTTTAAACGATCTATAATTTGCGGCCAAATTCAAGATAAAATTCTACTTACAATTTTATGTGTCACATATCCTAAATATAAATATGTATCCTGATATGTTTTGTACATGTGTGAATTTTACTTCTTCAAATGTTTTTCATGTTAAACTACTCGTAAAATTATAAACAGAATTCTGTTCCGAATTTGATCGCGAATTATAGATCGTAGATTTTAAGAAAGAAAAACATTAAAAATTTTAAAATATATGGAATATATATTAGATGCAGATATTCATAATAATCACGATAGTCCAAAAATTCCTAACAGTACTAATGACTAATCAAATTATTTTATTTTACGGCTACACTTATACGTATACAGTTATATCCGTCTGAAAAAATACTGAAAAATTTATTTGTTTTTACAGTCGTAAAATAAATGTCACTGCAAATAAAATATATATTGCTATAATGCTAAAGTCATAAACTTTCGCTAATCTTTTTATCAATTATTGGACTTTGTCCTTTAACATTGGAAATAAGCAAGGGGAAGCGGAACTATTTTAACAACGAGAAGAAGGAAAGATTGGAGACTCATCAGTATTCTTCTGCTATTTTCCAACCAGCGCTTCGACTTTCAGTCATTATTCTTTGATATTCCACATGGGTACTCCACCGATACACCCGTATTTCACCGATCGTCGTATTTTGTGTCTGCTCCTGACATTTATTGCCAGTAAAATTTAAAAAAAATGTATCCTATAGAACAGAGCGATATAGAAAATCGATACTCACCGAACAACTCGATTAATCATGTTAGGTCTTCTTGCTAGTTTCTTATCACAAAACTAATTTCACAAATACCGTTGCGACAGCTACAAGTATTTATGTCAGATAAGACAGTTTTCTTGTTAGAACAATTATATTGTTAATCTCCTAACGAATTACATACTGCTGTTCATTTCTTTTAATTATTGTGGAATTATCTCAGTTATCTACTTGATAGTATTTTTTCGACGACTACAAAGAACATAGGAAAAAAAAGTGATGATCAGCACTTTCTGAATGATGTAAAGAAACATGCATAGTTTACAGTGTAGCTTATTTTTATATAAATTTCTCACACATTGACGAGCAGACTGAGAACGTAAAATATCGTGACCGACATTTCCATTCTATCTTTTGCGTTTCCTCTTCTTTCTCGACTTTTCTTTCTGAATTTCTGGTTTTACGCCTTTTTGTGAAGAAATGGAAGCAGCCATAGAAGGATAGCTATGGAATCTCGTCATGAAATTTCCACGAATGGAACATTTCTTCGCACGTCCATCATTCTAAGACCAGAGCTATTACGATTCTCTGAGTTGACGCTTTCCTTTGTGAGATAAAGACCTGACTGCATTAATTACTACGAGCTGAGCAATGTTTGCAGGGACTGAATTAAGTCGCGACATTCGAACCGGTACTTCGTCAACGAGAATATTGCGACGAGAAAGTTGCGACGTAGCTATTTGGTTTTTCTGGTAAACATCAAAATCTCGGAAGGATACCTAGATATTACGCATTTCTACATACAGCATTGGAAAATTCATAAAAGGAAAGTAAGCTTGCAGCGAAATAATAATCCCGATGGTAGAATACAACAAAACTCATTTCGTGATATTTGTTGACAAAGAAAAATATTTTAAATCTAATGCAAATAAAATGTGAGCCTCCGCGATTGTTATAATGCGTAAATTATATACTTATAAAATGATAAATACAATTTGCAAGCAATTAAAATATATTTGTTAAATGAAATAAGAATAAAAATGTAACTACGCATATGTCTTACATTTTTATTTTTAACCTTCCTTTATCAAGTAGGGCAGTAAAAGCAGAGATTATGGCATAGGTTACTAATATGGCTTATTTTTTAAACAAAGCATTGCAATCTGGCGGCATTGCAATCGCTGAAAGTTATTGCAACTGTTACCAAACATGTCATAACAAGCAATGAACTCGGTCCGACCAACCGTTTTGCTACAATTAACATTTATTCATTTTCGTTACGTCAGGAGATCTGGCAGTTTTTTCTAAAAAGTGTCTTCACAAACTGAAGGTAAGTTTTTTTTAATGCTTATATTGCACAGACGCTTTTAATAATGTTGCATGAACAATATTATGCAGATTAATTGCTATTTCAAACTTGTTTATTGCTACGGAAAGACTTTGTTTGTTACATGACGACATGCAGGTAATATGGAATACATCGAGGATTGAGAATATAACTTTTTGATTCTTCTTGTGAATAATGTTTATTTTAGATGCTAATATTTATTGTACGTCATAATTTAATTTGATTCAAGATTTAATTGTATTCTTTATTGTTCATGCGTAATAACGTTTGTAATAACGCTATTATATTTTCTGCGTTATTGTACAATAAAAATTGAACAGTTTTCTATAATTGATCAGTTTATATAAATAAACAAATTTGGACTTCATTTATTGTGTTATTTATTATTATGGTCAAAATTTCATCGGTATTCCATATTACATCCCATTTTTTAGACCCCTCCCCCATTTTCTCACTTTTGACTTTTGTTAATATTGACGTTGAACTTAAATTTTGGCGACTTTTATTTATTGGATGTTGTAGCTAACATATTCCTCAAGAGTTCTGTATAAATTTAAAGTCTTCATTTTTATATCGGAGCAATGTTAATTTAAAAAAAGCTATTCCATAATCCCTGCTTTTACCTACATCTTAATTGCTTGCGAATTGTATTTATAAATACATCGCTTCATCAATGTATAATTTACGCACTAACATTAATTATTCGTGATTTACATAGGTATTTTATTTATATAAGATTTATTCTTAGAACCACAAATATTGTTTTATTTTAATTTAGAATATTTTAAGTGAAATTTTTATCTATTTAAATATAACTGCAATAATATATTTCACGCATATCAATTCTTACGCCCGAAATTCAAATGTAAAGGTGCTATCTTTTGCGACGCAAGAGGCATTGAGGAATTTGTATCGGTTTTCTGTGAGGCTACAATAAAGAGTGAAAATCCGAGGGTAACTTCGTTGGGGAGAGAAAAACGGGGAAATATATCGATACTTGTCACTAGTGGCATCAAAATTCTAACAAAATCCGATATCACTTTCTAGAAATCGAGAATCTTTCTATATTGAGACGAAGCGTATTTCAAGTACACTTTTTACTCTGTTATTGCGAGAATAGTATCATGCTATTTCCCAAGATGATTTGCGGTTTACAAATGAATGCTATTTTCCATGTGCTATTTTCCTACGAAATAAAAAATGTAAAACAAATAATAATATAAATATTTAAACAAAATTAACAAATATATAATGAAAATTATTGTTAATGCAAATGTTATTTGAACTTATATTCTCACGATTAAAACGATTGGAAAATTTGTTTGGTTGTTGTTGCCCGTTTTTGTAAAATATTTTAAACCATATTAGATTACCTTTTTTTCTAAACCTGACATTAAGACCGGAAGAGAGCTTATCTAACTAATTCAATGTATTTTTGTTTTATAGAAGAGAGCAACAGGTCAGGAACGGACCAGGGAATTTCAGATCCAGTGTCCGAAAATTATCTCCGTTAGGAAATTTTATCAAACAGCATTTGGTGAGTCTTTTCCTTTCATTTCCTTTCATTTACCGTCAAATTAATTAATTAATTAAATATATCATTTATTTTATTAATTGAAAAGATGTTTTTTATAATAATTCACTGCATATTACAATAAATAACTTCAATAATAAATAAATAATAACTTTAATAACTATAATAATGAACTTCATTAAATTTATTGAAAAGAAAATAATTATTTTTCTCTCTATAAATATCTAATTAATATTTATGCTGTACATGCACGCTGTACTGTATATGCATGCTATGTAGATATTGAGTAATGTATTTTTTTGTAAAATAATTTTGTTTGATATAAATTAAATTTACATACGATATTTGCATATTTATTATACGTTCAAGTTATATTTAAACAAAAAAACTTTATTTATATCTATGCAAATAATATATCATTGATAGTTGATATTTTTCCATCAAAGAAAATCTGCTTTCAAATAATAATGATGAATAAGGTCTGTTTATTATTCCAAATCATTCAGTGCAAGAGTTAAAGGCTTTTACACGGAATTAACGCAATGCTCACATAAGCTTATTAACAATTATTATTATTATTATTATTTAATCATTTAATTCAAACAGATCGATTTTTTTAATTACCAAAGCTGACTTCGTATTCGGGGTGAAAACATTGTCCCTCTAATTAAAAACAATATTCGTCTTAATTAAACTGTCATCGCGTCCACCGTCGTGGTCCATTATCGCAGTGGTCGATTGATCGACATTACAAAGGTTAATTGATGATCTCATAAGCAAAGGTCCCTGATTCCCGTGACGTCATACCTTTTTACATTTATGCAAGATTCGATTCCGCCTGCGAATCCGGACGAGACATGTAAAAGTGCACGATTGAGTTGGTGTCCGGGAGATAAAGCGAAGATTTCACAGCTTTGGACTCAGAGCGATAGACGAGTACCACGAGATTTACTGCCAGCTGGGGCGAGAAGGAGCAAGAAAGACTTCGGTAAAAGAGATGAAATAAGAATGAAACCCGCAGCATAAGGAAGTAGCCGCGATTCCCGCGTAGTGGTGCATTCACCTACACGGAATTTTTGCTGAAGTATCTAAAAATTTAGCTAGACACAAATCTGAAAATAATTTTGTTGGATTGTCAATATAATTACATAGGAATCTTAAGTATGATGAGCAATGCTACAAAAAGTACATTTTCTAACAATCAGTGTCCTACATTATTTTGTACAAAATTATTTTCATACTTTATCTAGCATTTATTGCTATCCACACCATTTGTTTGCGATTCCTACAATTTGCTATCGCTGTCCCACGTTGAGTAAAATATTCCATATTTCTAAGGGGAGAAATTGGCTTTTACCGATTTTAATGACTACGGATTACTACTCTTAAATCTTTTTTAGAATGAAATCTCACTCCAAAAGATTGAAAATTGAGCCAGTCTTGAAAAAAAGAGTGAAAATATTTTCTTTCATGAACAAGAGTGGCAGATTTTCACTCTTTATGAGTAAGATTTCACTCTTTTGGAGTGAAAGTCATTCTCAGGAAGAAAGTTTCATTTCAGAAGAGGGAAATTTTACTTCAAAAGAGTGAAAATTTGCCACTCTTGTTCAAGAGTGAGAAGTTTTCATTCTTTTATCAAGACAGGCTCAATTTTCACTCCAAAAGATTTAGAGAGTACCTTAACAGATTTTAGGATAAATTGAAGCTTTAGAGAGTCTCCACTACTACGCTACAAAAATACTCAAGTATAAACGTTCTAATAAACTCTAAAGGAATTGCCACTGCTAAATTTTATATTGAAATATCTCGGAAACAGTTAATCATCTACGCCCCCAAAAAAATAGGGGGACAATTATATTCAAGGGAACATATTTTATAATCCTGTCAAATTTCATCATGAAATCAGTAAGGCCATTTCTGTGAGCCTTCCCTTGTTAATATCTCTCCTCAAAGGAATGCAAAGGTTTACAGATTCTCGACTGCAGTTTTACTTTCAGTGTCAAAGTTTTCAGTGCTCTCAAATCCGCTACTACGCCTCTCTCGAGAATCTCCATCTGCCATTTCTCGTTTCTTCATGTCATTCCGGTCTTTCCCTTTCCTCCTTTGCTCTCTTGCCCCCCAGAGTATCCGGAGGGACGGATTCCTCGCGTTCTTGTAATAGAAGTGTCATCCGAAAATGTTTTCTATTCCCAGGCGCGGCAACCGCGTTCCTCTCCTCCTGTGATTTTTATTGGTTCGGTAACTTCGCTATTCATCATCTGGCTTTTCCTTTTCGGTGTTAGCATTCCGACGCCATGCAATTTGCTCGGATTATTGCGGTCCTCCGATGATGAAATTTGTTATCTTAGCTCTCGGAATGAAAATTCAAAAAGCCGTTGATGATAAATATCTAGATTAGCGTTTTTCAACTTTTTCCAATTTACGGCATATTAAATAACGAGACAAATTTATTGAAGTACATTATTGAATACACATGTTCGGCGCTCAGCATAAGCATTTTCTTATATAAACATCTCTAACACGACATTCAGAAGTATAGTACAAAAGTTTATTTCTGAAAATATTTTCCCAAAATATTCTTTTCAAAATATTTTTTACTTCACGTTCTATATTCGCTTTTTACTTATTCCTAAATTTTTTTTCGTTTCTGTTTACTTTTTCTAAAATTTTTGCGGCACACATGGAGACCCTTTGCACCGGTTGAAAAACTTTGACTTAGATGAATGATTTACCTAAAAAAAATGCTAATCTCTTTGAAGATATAGAATATTAAATTGAAGATTATAAAATATTTCAATTTATTATAAGTATACAGCATTCTGCACTTTTGTTTACTGTTCTGTGAAACGAGATATTTCATCACGTAACTTATAACCAGATAGAAATTCTTCTCGGCGACAGAATGAAACAAAAGAAAAATGATCGGTCAAAGGGGGAAATGACGAGGGGGAAGACTCAAATAACACGTCAATGAGCGGAACGCCGCGAAGAAAGGTCACTTTAGCTCTTACGTCAATTCCTCGCGGCAGATCGCGCATCGACCGTAACCACTGCGTGTCAGTAATGGCCTTTGCGTCGACCACGACCACTTGCCCGTCCGATCGCGACGCGACCGCTACCACTAAACGCGATCGATCAGACTCGTACCGTGGTCGGTTTCCTCGGTCGGTCGTTAACGTTACACCAAATCATCGTGGGCGGTACAGGAAAGAAAGAAGGATTTATCGTCTATCCGCGACTTCGTCGTATCTCCTAATCCCGTCTAATAGCGGCATAAATTTGTGCAGTAAGCATTCTTAACGTCTTACCACGCTAATGGTTTTTCATCTTTTTTTTTCATCGATCACGCGAGCGACTTACAGCAAAGACGTATTTCCTACCGTTCGATCACGATCATCGGTAAAGAATTAGAGTAAGAAAAAGAGAAGACTTTCGCTTTTCTCTTTTTCTCTCCCTATTATGCTATCACTATTATTGGTTATATTCAAGCTTCTTTAATATGATTGGTTTCTATACCATATTTATATCCAGTGAGAAACTGGGGACAATCATATTAAAAAATTTTACAACAGTTACAAAGCTGATTTTTATGCTGAACACAGCCATTGTGATCGAAATTATTGAAAGTTCAATTTGCGAATACGGTGCGAATGAATGCAGCGAAAGGATGTAACTTGCGTGTGCAAATTCCTTTTATAACTGGTCGTTTAGGGGGTCTTAACCGTGTGCGTAAACGTTCGCTGAAACGTGCTTGCATAATGCTAAGTCGTAACCATTGTGCTTCTGCTTGGCGACTTACTTAAATGATATTACAACGACGGCTTTCTCGACTCATTCCGGATTGACAATTATTGCTCTATCTCCAGCGTTTGCTGTCAACGTTGGAAAAGCGAAAAGTTAGTGACGGAGACAATCGTTTAAAGAGAACGTTTGCATTATGCGTCTTCTTGCTAGGATTCATTTGTATTGTGCAACACTCGCAAAATCGTATCTATTTGCTTCACGGAAATCTCTCCCTGTCGTCGTCGGAGGCAGGTAGCATTATCTAGTAACGAGACGTAATATGTCAAGAGATTTCTCTCTTCGCGCGACACGTATATTTCTTTATGACAAAGCAATTATTTCTTAATCTCAACGAATATTTTGATATTTATATAATAACAGTCATTGATGATTTAAAACGATTGTAAGAAAAAATGTTGTTCTCTTTATCTAGAAAAAAGATTTTAAATATTAAAAGGTTGTAACCAATCACATTTCATAAGCTTAAAAATGTGTGTCACACAATTTAAAGTATTAAAAAATATAAAAATATAAAAATTTCATAGATTGTTTTATTATTACGTTTGAGTATCTGTGTAAAATTTGAGCACAATTCTCTTATTGAAGATTGTATTAGAATTTCTCTCACTTTGAGATATCTTTGGAATTGTCTTAAAAGCATATTAAAATAAAGCTTGCTTGATAAATACAGAAATACAAGAACGTCTAATGTTTTAGTTGTACAATATCAGCTAAAAGTTGAGTTATTTAATTTTTTGTTTGCTTTGATTCTCATGTAAATTCGCTATTTGTAGTTATTGGCAAATTCGAAGAAGTAGCATTACGAATTAAATCAAATTTATTATTATATATATACGATTAAAATTCTAATAAATATTTGTATAAAAGTTTATTTGAATTCACTTACTCTTTAAAAAAAATTATTTATATAAAACTACAACAAAATATGGTAATTGCGCTGTATAAGTTATTAAAAGCCAAATAATTGTTGTTTTGTTTTGTACAGTTAGTTTCAGAGTCTATATTAACGATAAAATTTTTTTAATGATATTAGCTAATATTCGTTTTTTTGATTAATTAACTTTTAACTGATACTGTACAGCCAAAATATTATAGACGCTCTTGTATTTTTGCATTTATTAAACGAGCTTTACTTTAATACGCTTTTAATTTAAGATAATTTCAAAGATAAATAAGAATAAGAGAAATTCTAGTACATT